GGAGTCAGCTCGGATGAGCATGTGATTGCTCCGGTTAGAGGTGTCGGAGAGGCAACATAAATTGTTGTGGTGAGATTTCTGTTTCTTTATGGCGTGGAGGAGAAATGAGATTAAACCTTCCATGATAAGTTCCTTGTTGATGATGGATAATCTTTTTGAGTTTTGGATGTTTAGCTATTTAAGTTTTGATGTTAGAAATGGAATTGAGTTCAGATAAAGAGAAGAGGGTAGGAAAATTAAGATTAATTAAATTGTTTAAGTATTTGATGTTGCCTCCATTATACCTGAGGGCATTTTTTACCCATTTCACTAACAGTAAGGGCATAAATGTACCAAAGTATAAACAAAGGGCATATTTGATCATTTCGTATAGTATAAGGGCATTTTTGACATAATAATAATAATTTAAAATAAAATAAAATATGAAGACTATAAAGTTAGATATTAATAATCAATTTTTCTATGAATTAAATTGTATTTCGAAAATTACAAATTAACTTTATATTCTCATGTTCTATCATTATAAATAATAAAAGTTTATCCACATAACTACACAATTATCTCTACATACTTTCTTGAGTAGCATAATAACTCCCTTTTCTACTTTTATTTTCAAAATATCCTAACCTGAAAACATGATAAGTTAACCTTAAAACAATAACAAAAAACATACAAATAAAGTTAACTAATCAAGTAAAAACTTTAAAGATTATTTAGTTATGCGTAAAAGAGGAAAGGAGGACTCCGTTTTCAACATAACATAATTCGATTCTCCAAAAACTACATACAAAGAGAAGAATTGAGTAAAAATAATCAGATTCTCTAGAAACTACAAAAACAAGCAAAAAAATAAAATAAAAAAAATTCAAGAAACTACTCCTTTTGTCCCTCTTTACTTCTCCAATTTTAACTTTTTACTTGTCACTTTGACAAATAAAAAATAATAATATTTTTTTACCTATTATACCCTCAATTTATTTAGAGAATTAATGATTTTGAAAAAGGTAGAACCTCTTTAATAAGTAAATTAATTTCAAAATTCTATCAATTAATAGGGGTAAAATTGGTAAACTCACTATTTCAATTATTATTTTCTTAATAGGTGTGCCAAGTCAAAAATGGACAAGTAAATATGGACAAAGGGAGTATAAAAAGAAGCAAAAGAGAATATCAAATTATTTTTTTCTAAAAAGAATTCATGATTTGTATCGTCAAGAATAAAAAAATAATATTAATTGTATAATTGCAATAGAAAAAAGTGAAAATTATATTAGACATGTCAAATTATTTTACCTCATAAAATTAAACTATGCAAGAATGTCTAGCATGGATATCTTCTAGAAACGACAAAGAGAAGCAAAGAGAAAAAGTCAAATCATTTTTCTAAAAAAACTCATAATTCGTATAATCAAGAATCGATAACAAAAAGTGATAATTATATTATGCATGTCAAATGACCTCGTAAAATAAACGGAAAAATGTCATATTTACCCATATACTATTATAAATAGTTTTAAAATGCCCTTTGTCATATTTTTGGTCCAAATATACCCTTATCGTTATACTTTGGGCCACATATACCCCTCATCCGTTAAATATTTGAATCTCAATCTTAAAATAGACAAGTGGAGGATTGGGATTAATTTGAAGTACCCATATCCTTTTTGTCCAAACCAACACCCAAAATAATCCACTTAAACATTTATAAGCAAACAAAAGCACAATCAATTTTTTTGTCAAAAACATTACTAATTGGTTAGCTTCACGCAATACATGAATTTGGTTTTAATAATTACTGTTTCTATTTGTTTTGCCAATCAAAAATACAAAACCTTGAAAAAAATTGTAAACTTTTTAAAAATAGTTCACTGTATGTTGTTCTTATTGAGTTCATTGTCTTGATTTAATTCTGAATTTTTTGAAATATCAACTGATATGATGCTTGAAAATTCATTGGTTTCGATTCATCTGCTAAAATTATACGGCACATTGGGTGGAGAAGTTAGAAACGAAATTGTTGGGTCTTCGAATCGACATTCATATTTGTGGCTGAATTACTTCTAAAATTTGTGAATGGAAGTTGTTGTGAATCAATAGAATATTGAAAATTATTTGGGTTAGTATTTTTTTTAGCTGAGATTTTCTCTTGCCTGGTATTATTGAGCTAAATTCAGTTTTGACTTTTTGGGTTCTTTAAATTTGATGATGAGCTTAAAAAAATTCAAAGTTCTTTAATAGTTTTTCACCGTTAACTCATCAAAATTTCAAGTTATTGAGATTTTGAAGTGAATGTGGGTGTTCAGATGTTGAGAATCATCAACTTAGATGAATAAAGTTATTATTGAAGCGGTCAAAATTGAATTGAAGATTGTTATTTCTGTGGCATTACTGCATTGTTGTTTGTTGATATTAGAGCCTTTATTTGGGTTGGGTTATGAGTTATTTTGGGTGTTGGCAAGGACAAAAACGATATGGGTCCTTCGAGTTAATCCCAACTCTTCACTTGTCTATATTAAGATTGAGATTCAAAGAGGGTATATTTGGCTCAAAGTATAACGATAAGGGTATATTTGGACCAAATGTATAACGAAAGACATATTTAAACTATTTCTAATAGTACAGGGGTAAATATGACCCTTTTCCGTAAAATAAAACTATGCAAGAATGTGGCATTCTCATTACATGCCTCTCTCTTGCAAAATTAGATCAAAGAAGCAAAAAAATGACCAACCAAAGAGACAAAAAATGAAGAATAAGAAACATGAAAATAAAATAATCATCATCCATGTCTCAAAATAAGTTTTTATAAGTATGATTTTAAGGAAAAATAAATTTGTATATTAAATAATTTGAAGGTTATGAATATGAAAGGTTAGGAGTTATAGACATTACTAAATTAGTTAAGAGCTGAATTTATGTAATTGAAGAGGTATGGATTAAGGAGATGATTTTATAAAATAAAATAATTGAAAAAAATTAGAGGAAACGTCAAAAAACCCACAAAAAAGATAAATATAATTCTTGGCCATTGAGAGAGGTGCCACATTTACTTCTTTTTTATCTACCTTAATGTTATGAAATATATTATGTGAATGCCCATTAAATGTTAATATCTCCACTACTTTTATCATTATGTGTAGTAATACCCACATTTTCACCACCTCTTCATTTATCTTTCATACCACTTAATTCTCCTCACATCCTCAAGGATTAATCTTTTCTGAATTTATGTAGATATAATAATTTTAAACCTCTTTGTAACCAAGATGTAACTGTAGCATAGTGGTAGATTTTTTTTTAAAATTAGCCCTCACGTCCAGGGTTCGAATGCCATTGTGGTCATTTTTTTTTTATCTCTTCTTCATTTAGTTTCAGGACCAATCTTTCACGTTTTTTTATTTTTAAAAGAGTAGATTTAAACGAAAAAAATCCAAACGTTCGTGCTTATTCACACGTTTATACTTTTATTTTTCGAATCCCTGGATGAAAATTATAGAGTCGCCACTGTCTCCACCACCTCTTCATTTATCTTTCGTACCCCTTAATTTTCTCCACATTTTCAAGGATTAATCTAATATTTATGGCTTTTTTTTGTATGTCTGTTTGTAACACTATAAATAGAGATCTTAAGTATTATGTTGTACATACTTGAATATATTTGAAAGAATAATAATAAAAATCTCTCTGGTCTCTCTATTTCTATTGTCTTCATCTTGATATTGTTCTAATCTTAATTTCATAACATATTGGTTGAAAATTTTAATATTTACTTTTTAGATTTAATTAAATAAATTAAAAACTTAATTAAGTTTATAATAGTTATTTAACATATTTTTTCTGTAAAAATAATCTGAAAAGTAAATATGCATTGACATTTGCCATTTTTCATAATCTGAAGCTCAAAAATAATTTTTTTTTGTAGAATGATTAGTCAAACATAATATGCTTATTAAAAATACTTTTTAAATGAATTAGTCAAACACAAATTATTTTTTTCCAAAAGTATTACTTTTCTAGTTTTTTTTTAAAAAAAAAGTGCATCTAAATAAGCCCTTCATAGCATTTTTAAAAACATCATCAACCATTAATTATTATGCAAAATATTTTTAAAATTAATAAGCAAACTCAATTTATTTCTTACCAAAAAAATAGTTTCAAAATAAATTGATTTTTTTAGAGGTATAAATCTTAAAAGATTTCCGTGAGGTAAAAGTTAAAACAAAAAGTAAATAATGTTAAAGTTGGTATTATTTTTCTTTTTCATAGTGAAAAGAATTAAAAAAGGACGTCGCATAGTTAAGGTGTCTTTTTGAAAATTCTGAAACTGATCAAAAAATGATATAATAATATAAGTTTGAAATTGTTTAGGGGTAATAGAACGCCCGCATAGTTAAGTTGTCTTTTTGAAAATTCGGGACAGCTTCATGTGTCATTTTATGTTTTTTCTCCATTAAATATAATATCTCCACTACTTCTTATCATTATATGTGTAGCAATATCCACATCTTCACCACTTTCTCATTTATCTTTCATATTTCTTAATCTTCTCCACATTTTCAAGGATTAATGCAATGTTTATGACTTTTTTTGGATGTTCCTATGTAACACTATAAAATAGAGATCTTGAATATTATGTTGTACACATTTGAATATATTTGAAAGAATAATAATAAAAATCTCTCTGATCTCTCTGTTTATATTGTCTTCATCTTCATATTGTTCTAACCTTAATTTTATAACATATTGATTGAAAATTTTAATATTTACTTTTTAGTTTCAATTAAATGAAGTAAAAACTTAATTAAGTTCATAATAGTTATTTAACATAATTTGTCTATAAAATAATATGAAAAGTAAACGTGCACTTTTCATAATTCGATGCTCAAAAGTATTTTTTAGGAAAATAAGTCAAACACAATTTAATTATGTCAGGAAGCCCAAGCATTAACAAAGATATTTAAGAGCAGGGAGCACCACAGATTAACAAATATTCTTGAAAGTAACAGCAAGAACATCACGCAGTATTTGATAAACATGACAAACCATACCATAACAGATAATTTATCTTGTCAAGAAGACATTGCTGGATACATAAAGTTAGACAGATTTTCAGGAGCATGTATACACGAAAAATAAGGGGGGTACAGGGTTGTGTAGAGCGAGAAGGAGTCAACTCAGCTAAGTGGCTTCAATCACAGCTGGATCCGTTGCAGATCCTATCAGCAAATTGGTCCTTCACCATAGGAATGGAAAGACTTTCCGGAAAAAAAAGAAAAAGAAAAAAAAGGGACAATTAAGAGAATAGATATTTCAGGGAAAGAAGCAAAATGGAAGATAACATTACCAGCAAGCTTCAACTTGGAGAACATTGGAGGAAGATTCTGAAGGGAAGCATCAAAGTAGGAAATTGGTCTTCTGGAGACTTTCCAAAAATAGATATTTGCCCTCTCTGTAAGGGATTAGATAGGTGTTGGATCGGGTCTTTTAGACCCATCCAATTTTTTGCTTTGTTTTGGCTTTGTTGTTTGGGCCATGGGCCTTGTACAGACCCCTTTTCGGTTTATTAAATAAAAGGCTGAATAAGCCATCAAAAATTAAAAAAATAAAATAAAATAATTTAATTATCAAAAATACTTTTCAAAATGAATTAGTCAAACACAATGTAATTATCTTTAAAGTGGAATAGTCAAATAAAACTTATTTTTCTCCAAAAGAATTACTTTTCTAATTTAAAAAATAAAATAAAAGTGTGTCCAAATTAGCCGTTCGAAGCATTTTTAAAAACTTCATCAATCATTAATTATTATGTAAAAATACTTTTCAAAATTAATTAGCAAATACTACAATTTATTTCTTACCAAAATTTAAAAATAAATTGATTTTAGAAGTATAAATCATAAAAAAATGTCGGTGAGGTAAAAGTTAAAACTGAAAGTAAATAATGTTAAATGGAGTACTATATTAAAGTCTGTATTTTTTTCATAGTGAAAAGAATTAAAAAAGAAAGAAAGGAAGTTGTATTATGCTATGGAGCAAGAAAGAAAAGTTTGTAGTGGGCGCAGTCCCGAGTCCCTTGTTTTGAACCGCCCACTGTGTGATAGAGATACAGGTGGCGTATTCCACGCAGCCCCCAAAGAAGCGAACAATACTTTTTTTTATTATTAAAGATTAAAGATTAAAGATTAAAGAAAGAAGGTGTACTGAACTCACCTCCATAACATCGTTGAACTTGTTCTCTGAAATTCCAACTCCAATGGCAGATTCTGTGTTTGCTCATGTTGTTCGTGCTCCTGAAGATCCCATCTTAGGGGTGGGTATATACCTCTTTCCACTCCTAACTCCTCTTTGTTTTTGTTGTTAGACTTAGGACCAACTTTAAAAATTAGTAATAATCAGTTGATGATTTGATCTTGGAGATCATTTGATTTGATTGATGGCTATGTGGTTTTCGATTCTATTGCATGGATCTAGGTTTTTCTTTTATTTCCCGAATGTGTTTGTGCGTGTATCTTATTTTATGTTGATTCAATAATACAGGTAACAGTTGCTTATAACAAAGATAGCAGCCCAGTCAAAGTGAATTTGGGTGTTGGCGCATATCGAACTGAGGTCTCTCACTCACTCTTTTCCTTCCTATTTCTTTAATCTACATACAACTTGCTCATTCAATGAATCTTTTTTCCATTTCCTCCCCTTATGTATAATTAATTAATAAAATTAAATCAATTATATTAGTTTCCATCATTCCAATGATACAAATAAAGATATTTTCTTGCTGCTACCTCTGTTTTTTTTTTAGTGATTGGTTCTTTAATCCAAAGCTAATTGTTATTGTAAAGTTTGAAGAACCATTATTCTAATGACAATTATGACAGGAAGGAAAGCCCCTTGTTCTTAATGTCGTGAGACGAGCTGAACAAATGCTTGTCAATGACACGTGAGTTGGTTGCTAAATTAGAGACTTTATCTTATGGGATATCACTTGAAACCAACTTACTAATCTAAGCCTACTATGTAATGTAGGTCTCGCGTGAAGGAATATCTCTCAATTACTGGACTTGCGGATTTTAACAAATTGAGTGCCAAGCTTATATTTGGTGCTGACAGGTTTGAAGATTTTTCGCTCTTTCTAAATATTGCTTGAGTTTAAATGGGTGCATTTTCTAGTACGAGAGACTAAATCCATATCTGTTTTTATCACTTTTATTCTGTAAGTTAAATGTCTTTTTCACGTTTGCTTATTGGAAGGTGAAAACTGTGGTAGTATCTTCTTGAGCACCATTTCCTTTACATAATAATCTATACATGTCGTGCATACATCCTTTTCTTATTGATAGTAAAAGGCTGCTGAACCACTTATCAACAACAACAACTACGCTTCAATGCCAAGCTAGCTACTGAATTATCACTGTCCATGTCCATTCCATTTAGACCTGTCTAGCTGAACCAATTATCTCTTTAAAGAGAAAAGAAATGCTGCTGAACCTTCAAATTTCTTCCTTCAGTCTTGCTTGATATTTTGATGAGAACTGATGACCTTTATTTGGTATTTCATCTTATTATCACGGCCTTGCATCATAAGAAAATTGTTCTAGACTTATTTTTCCCTCCTCTTTGTTTTGAACTGATTATCTGTGCATGGTGAATATGATATCAAGAATTCTGTTTCTTTTATCACGATTACTCCTTGTTAAGTTGAGTTATGAGTTATTAATTTACTTGTTAGGACATCAGCAGATATATTTAAATGTATCTATGCTTATGTATTTGTTCCGTTGCTGATACAGCCCTGCCATTAAAGAGAATAGGGTGACCACTGTTCAGTGCTTGTCGGGCACTGGTTCTTTGAGGGTTGGTGCTGAGTTTCTGGCCAGGCATTATCATGAAGTAAGTATTCCTTACACTCTTTCCCTTTATATGTCTGAATCAAAATGACACTTGAATGAACATTCTACCATTTGTCTTGTTTCCAGCATACTATATATATACCACAGCCAACATGGGGAAACCATCCTAAGATTTTCACTTTAGCTGGGCTTTCAGTAAAATATTATCGTTACTATGACCCAGCAACACGAGGCCTAGATTTTCAAGGTACCACTGTTACCAATGTTCTTAAGTACTCTTGTAAATAAGAACAGACTCTGAAGAGAAAAAAGAAAAAGAACTCACTCTTTTTATACACGAGTTGACTTGCTCCTTGTCGTGTTTGGATAGATCTATATTTTATGTGTACCTATAACAAGATTTTTATTTATTTAATTTTGCTTTTCTTTGCTATAGATATAATCACCTTATCTGTGGCTTCCCCTGCTTTTGGTGTTGAGTATACTTAAAAGGTGGGTTTATTATGACACCTGCAGGATTATTGGATGATCTTACGGCTGCACCCTCTGGTGCAATAGTTCTTCTCCATGCTTGTGCTCATAACCCAACTGGCGTTGATCCAACAATTGACCAGTGGGAAAAAATCAGGAAGTTGATGAGGTCCAAGGGGTTGTTACCTTTCTTTGACAGTGCTTATCAGGTTAAGCTTAAGATGGAATTTTAACATTCAAGTGATACTTCGTTTAGAATGATTGCTAAATAATTTGAAGCCCACAACCTATGTACTAATGGGCTGCTCAACTGACCCTACTGTATTACATATTTTCTTGATATTGCAGGGTTTTGCCAGTGGGAACCTAGATGCAGATGCACAATCTGTTCGCATGTTTGTGGCTGATGGTGGTGAATGTCTTGCAGCTCAGAGTTATGCCAAAAACATGGGACTGTATGGAGAGCGTGTCGGTGCCCTTAGCATTGTAAGTCCTTTGTCAGTTTAGTTACTTTCCCTTTTTATTAAGTGATACAATTGGGGGCTGAAGAATTATCATACTATTTATGTCTTAAAGATACTGTTTTTCTTTAAATACACTATTCAAGTTGTATTCCCTGAAAAGTTTAAAGTTCTGCAGCACAATGAACACAGTCTCTAAAGATTCACAGCCAGATTTAAAATATTTGAAGGCTGCTTTATTTGGTAGATGTGCACTTGTTTACTTGGTGTTGCGGCCCAATACAATTCTGGGATTTTGGTTATCCTCTCTCTTTTTTTGCTTGTGGCCATGATGTTTTCGTCCTTCCTTCTTTCTGCCCTATTGCTTTTTTTGAGGGCCTCCGTGTCCACTTAGATTGTAATTGGACAGAGTGGAAATGGTTGGTAAAGGATAATATGTTTAGGAAAAACGGTCATTCTCTTTGCGTTTTAGCTATAGACACTAAAAACTGAACAAGACTAATATAATTTTTTGTTGTAGGTTTGCAAAGATAGCAATGTTGCAAGCAAAGTCGAAAGCCAGCTAAAGATGGTTATAAGGCCAATGTACTCAAATCCACCGATTCATGGTGCGTCTATTGTTGCCACTATACTCAAGGACAGGTTTGTGCAGCTATTACAATATTCTTTTTGCTCGTCAGTAGATAGTATATAGCTTCTACATTTTGACGCCGTTGTTATCTATTGGTAATAGACAAATGTATGACGAATGGACAGTTGAGCTGAAAGCAATGGCCGACCGAATTATTAGCATGCGCCAGCAACTCTATGATGCCATGCAAGCTCGAGGTATTTGATTTTCTGATTTGTTCTTTCTAGTGAGGCTTGCTGTGTCTGTCTGATTGGTGTGACTGGTACTGCTATGAGAACTTTTTCTGGAGAAAACACATGTAATTGTTCCATTTAGTATTAATGCAAGTTTAATTCTGTTTTGCAGGTACTCCAGGTGATTGGAGTCATATCATCAAGCAAATTGGGATGTTTACTTTCACAGGATTGAATGTTGAGCAAGTCTCGTTCATGACTAGAGAGTATCACATTTACATGACATCTGATGGGTAAGGACACCCGACTGTTGATAGTGGTTTCATTCTTTAGTTTGTTACGGTGGATCACTCTTTTGTCAATAGAAACTTAATGACTTCGAACTTAGAAGTGCTTATTGTTGATTGTTTCTGCTTGAATTCTTTAGAAAGGAGAAATTTCGAACTGAAAGTTTCAGTTTGGAAAATAAGTATAAGAAAGTTCAGCTCTGTCATCCATATCAGTACTTAACTTTACCGAAGAGATTGCTGCTACTGTTTTTCTTCCCCTCCTTCCTAATTACACCGTTTTTCTAAAAGCATTACATTCAATCCATGTCATATTCACTTCTCTGGTATGAGTTGAAACATCTTTGTTGAAGTTGGATTTGGTTAAAAAAGACGCTCATTACTAGTGACATTTTTCTCCTTGAAATTTTTAAAAGAGGAATCATTGTCTCCTTTCTCATTTGCAGGAGAATTAGCATGGCTGGTCTTAGTTCTCGGACAGTTCCTCATCTTGCTGATGCCATGCATGCTGCTGTTACTAGGACGGCCTAGATTAGTTGCATTCAAGAGCAGTTTCATTAATATTGAATCTACTTTCCATGATCGCCTCCTTATCCTTTGATGTTAAATAAGACGAATGTGTCTATGTAGACATAATTTATATTTGGAAATTTCATTCTAAAGGAATTTGATGAGGTCTACTGCTAAGGCGA